GGACGGGGCATGGCAAATGTTTGTATGTACCCAAATAAACTATTCTGTAGTTGATTAATTGTTCCTTATTCTAGAACTACAACTGTGCCATTGTAACCTTATGAGAAAAGAGTTAGCATTCTCTCATTTGCAATCTCTTTTGCTGACATTATGTACTAGCTCATCACTGTAGTATCTGCATGCCTTCCAGTAACATTAAGCAACATTAATTATACTATATCTTTGAAATGGAAGTTGGGACAACCCAAATTGAAATCTGAATTTATATTTAGATAATCAAGCACTGTTTCCAATTACTACTGCCTTGACTTCTATTTCAGCAATTTTTTCACCTACTTTTTCGCCTCTAATTCTATGCAAGTGAAATGGGTTGGTTATTCTGTAATATGTTGTGTATATATACTGTATATTTACCTATTTGAGACGTTTACTGTATTAATATATTGGTTTAATTTAACAGAGAACTGAAAGGGAAACCCAAGTTGGGGAGGAAGAAGGCTGGATCAAGATGAATGTTTTTTCAACAAACTCTTGACGGTTGTTAAGGGGAAATGCCAATGATATAAGAACTGAGAACAAGAAATTCAAAAGAACTGTAGCAGTTTTTTAAAAGGTCTATCTCTTTAAGATAGTGAGGGAAAGTTCCAGTAGAACCTGATTCACAAAGTTACTCTTGCCTAGTTCACCACCTTTTGGGAAAATAGATGTTTTTGCGAAGACTGCTGCTTAAAAAAATTCATGTATGCTTCATTTTGACTGCTAAGCTAAAGTATACTTTCACAGTAATAAGGCTAGCTACCAAATATATATAATGGACACAATTTCTTGAAGGGAAGAACTATAGGTGTCAACTCACTTGCACCTACGTAGTAACAGTAGTTGAATACACAAGTTACTATAGTCTAAGTGCCATTCTAAGAATGAGAGAATCGCCTACTTCTACATCGAAAGGCACTGAAACACACCTGAGACTGCATTGCAGCCTACTGGTAAATTGTATAATCCAAATCATATTTCATGTGTCCATAAAAGGTAACTAATCAGGTGAATGAATAAGTAAAAGTAATATTACCTTGTAATGGGTTATCCATTGTGATGTAATGATTTGTACTGGAAACTTTGTCTATTCCTCTTCATGATTTTTATTCTTGCTGTTGTCATTTAGATTCCCTTATAATCCATGTCTATATTGGCAGAAAAAATGTTTTAGGCTTCATATTTCATAATGATAACCTGGAAAATATAGCAGTGTTTTAAATTTAAATAGTTAAAAGTATGTACAGCAGTCCTAGACATACTGTTACTCCAAATTGTAGCAATCTGAAAATTTTAAAAATGAAATAGTAAAATTCAGGCCTAGTTGTATAGGATTTCTGAATCCTGAAACTTTAAGACCTTTCTCAGTAAAGAAAATGCTAATACTTACAACGCTTTATGAAACAGAACAAAACAGTTTAATAGAAATTAATAATGGGAATGTAGATAGTACTCTTGATCTGATCTAAGTAGTTCTTGATTCCATCTTATGAACTCCATGCATGACCCTGCACAGGTCATTTAATCTCTCCATGCTTAAAATGCTAACTTGTAAAATTGGAATGATACATTCCAAATTATCAGGCATATTCTAAGAATCATTTGATAAAACTTCTGAGGTACTCTTAGCATAAGGTCCAAGGCATAGAAATACCTAGGAAAAATAAGAAACTGCATTCAGATTTTAGGACCATTTTAGCCTAATGACCCTAAATTTGTCTTTATCCCTCTCTGCATTTCATTCCTAATAAGTTGAACAGTATTATCTTTTCTCTAGGGGTTAATGGGTGCATCTACCTACATGTGGTCTTTATTGTAGTTGACTAATTAGCTTCATGAGCCAGGTCTTAAAAACTTCCAAGGATGGAGATTCAATAACCTCTCCCGGTAACCTGCTCCAGCCCTCCTAGTGAGAAAATTCTTCCTAATATTTAGCCTAATATTTAACTATTCTGCAACTTGAGACCATTGCTCCTTGTTCTGTCATCTGCTAGCATTGAAAACAGTCTACCTCCATCCTCTTTTGAACTTCCCTTCAGGTAGTTAAAAGCTACTATGAAATCCCCTCTCAATCTTCTTTTCTACAAACTAAATAAGCCCAGTTCCCTCAGCCTCTCCTCATAAATCATGTGTCCCAGCCCCCTCACCATATTCATTGACTTCTGCTGGACTCACTCCAATTTGTTCACATCCTTTCTTTAGTGAGGGGCCAAAAAACTGAACTCAGTACTCCAGATGTGGCCTCACCAGTGCTAAATAGAAGGAAATAATCACTCCTCTTGCCCTGCTAGCAGCACTCATACCAATGCAGCCCAGTATGCTCTTAGCCTTCTTGGCAACAAGGGCACACTGTTTCATAGATTTCATAGACATTTGGGCTGGAAGGGACCCCAGAGGATCATCAAGTCTAGCCCCCTGCCCCAGGGGCAGAAAGCCAGCAGGGATCATAGGATCCCAGCAAGATAAGCATCCAAATGCATCTTGAATGCGTTCAAAGTGGGTGCTTGAACCGCCTCCAGTGGCAGTCTATTCCAAACCTTGGGAGCTCGGACGGTGAAGAAGTTCTTTCTCACATTCAGCCTGAATCAGTCACAGTGGAGTTTGTGACCATTCGATCTTGTCATCCCTTGGGGGGCTCTGGTGAACAGATGTTCCCCCAAATCCTGGTGAACAACCCTGATAAACTTATAGGTGGCTGCCAGATCACCCCTGAGCCTGCACTTTTCCAGGCTGAATAGCCCCATTGCTCTCAGTCTCTCATCATAAGGTCTGTTTTCCTGACCTTTGATCATGCACATGGCTCTCCTCTGCACCCTCTCAAGCTTCTCCACATCCCTTTTGAATTGCAGAGCCCAAAACTGGACGTAGTACTCCAGCTGCGTCCTTACCAAGGCCAAGTACAGTGGGAAAATGATGTCCCGGGATCTGCTTGAGAAGCATCTATGGATGCAAGCCAGCATTTTGCTCAGTTTACTAGCCACAGCATCACACTGGAGACTCATGTTCATCTTGTGGTCAACCATGACCCCCACGTCCCTTTCATGTGTAGTGCTAACCAGCATAGTACTACTGAGCCTATAAGCATGGTGCAGGTTTTTCCTCCCAAGGTGGAGAACCTTGCATTTTTCGGTGTTGACCACCATCAGGTTCTCATCTGCCCATTTCATGAGCCTGTCCAGATCCACCTGGATCACTCTTCTATCCTCAGGTATGGATGCTTTACCCAACAGTTTGGTGTCATCAGCGAGCTTGGCCAGTCCGCTTCTGATACCAATGTCCACATCATTGATGAAGATGTTAAACAGTATAGGCCCTAGGACAGA